AGCCCTCAGCCAATACCTGGTGGCAGTGGGCTTTCAGAGGCTCCTTTTCCTCTCCCCTCAGGACAGTGCACCTCTGAGAAGTATTCAGTGCTGTCTCCCTGAGTCCTTGGTGGGCCACCACAGACAGGGCACCCCTCAGACAGGACTCCAGTCAGCCTTACTGGGTCACCTCACTGCCATTTGCCCACCTGATCTGGCCACTAGGCTAGACTGGGGCTCCCTGAGGTTGCTTGGGGGCAGGCCACCTAGGACCACGAGGAGGCATGACCCACATGGCCTGAGGGCATCACTGAGTGGCCAGGGAGGCTCTTCTCTTTTCCTTTGGCACTGGGGAGGTGAGGGCAGTTGTGGCTGCAGAATTTCAACTTGTCTTGCCTGTCACATCCCTCAAGTGGCAGCATCTCTCCACCCCTCCCACCTCTGTCAGGAGGAGATCAGGCCTTATGACTTCCTTTAACCTTAATTACCTCTTTAAGAGCCACATCTCCAAATACAGTCACCTTGGGAGTTAGGGCTCCAACATGTGAATTTGGAGGGAGGGGGTGCGATTTAGTCCTTAGCAGGGCTTCTTAAAAGAAACATGATCTCAGCCCTAGCTGGCCCCAGACTGCACAAAGCCCAGAGAAGCTGGGCACCCACTGTGAGCTGTGCTAACCCAGCAGCGGGACTGGTGCGGGATCATCAATCACCAAGATGGGACAGGGTGGGAAAAGATGAGCCCTCGGATAGTGCGAAGATGAATGGGGATACTGACATGTGATTAAACTGGGATCCTCCGCTGGTAGTCGAGGACCCACTCTGAGTGCAAAGTTAGCACAGCCAGGCCTGGGCTCCCCGCACCCACCAGGCCCCTGCCCCTCCCCCTGCCAAGGTTAAAGGATTGTCCCTTCAACCCCAGCCCCTGTCACGCCAGCCCTGTAAGTGATGCGGTGCAGCACGCAAGGGGACCAGCACAGGTGGTGGGAACTGTGGGCCCGACCATATCATCAGTCACCATTCCAGGCTGCTAGCTCTTGTTAATAAATAATAATAATGGTGACGGCCCTGAATGAGCACTCGCTATGGGTACTTCAGGAGCATCTGCTCATTTTCACACTTCAAACCAAGTCAGGTGATGAGGGCAGCAGTTTCTGGGGGAAACAGATAGAGGGGCAGAGAGGGATTTATTAATCCATTCACTCAGCCAATGTATTTTTATTGAGCACCTACTATGTGCCATCATATCCACAAGGTGAACAAAAACTCACAAGGTTTTTGGGTCTATCTCCTAGTTCGAGAAACAGATGATAAAAATTAAATTAAATAAGATGATTTCATTTTTAAATTAATTATAATAAATTAATTTAATTAATTAAGGGGGGAGGGAGAGAAAGGAGAATGCAACTTCATATGGAATGGTCAGACAAGGCCTCTCGAAGGGAGGGACATCTGAGCTGAGACCTGGAGTGAAAGGAGCTGGCTGTGAGAGTAGCTGCGGGGAGAGTGTTCTAGGCAGGGAGACCAGCAAGTGCAAAAGCTCAAAAGCTGGAATGAACTTGGTGTGTCTGAGAAATTGAAAGGTTTGTGTGACTGGTCTTCAAAGTGAGGGGTAGTGTGAGTGAAATGGTATCAGAGACATTAAATGGGCCTCACAGGTTAGGGTAAGGAGTTGGGGCACTATTTTAGGTGGTACGGGATCCCTCTGGAAGGTTTTCTGTAGGAGGGCTTTCAGAAGAATTTTTGTTTTAAAAGGGCCACTGCACAGAGGATGGATAGGAGGACAAGAAGGGAGAGATCGGAGTACAAGGGCATTGAAGACACTGAAGCTCTGCACCATCATCATCACCATCACCAGCACAACCATGATCACTATCACCACTGTCACCGTCATCTCCACCATCAGGACAACCAGCATGTCACCATCATCATCATCACATCATCTCTACCATCAGCACAACCAGCATATCACCATCATCATCATCACCATCATCACCACCATCAGCACAACCAGCATGTCACCATCATCACCACCATCATCAGCGCCATCACCACCATCAGCACAACCAGCACGTCACCATTATCACCACCATCATCTCCACCATCAGCATAACCAACATGTCACCATCATCATCACCATCATCTCTACCATCAGCACAACCAGCATGTCACCATCATCATCATCACATCATCTCTACCATCAGCACAACCAGCATGTCACCATCATCATCACCATCAGCACCACCATCATCATCAGCACCATCACCACATCCAGCATGACCCCTACTGCCATCACAAAGGCAACAAGATGACAGTGGCTTGGATTAGGATGGTAGTAGAAGCAAAAAAGAGGGGAGACTGGGATGTGTTTTGGAGGGAGGTCCTCCAGAGCTTGTAGGTGGATTGTAGGGGGTAGGAAGGAACTGGGGAACAAAAGCAGCAACTCTGGCTGAATGCCATGGTATTTCCCCCACTTGAATAACCTACCCACTCTTCCTGCTTCCATTCTTGACTGTCCTTTCTCATGAGCATCTACCAGGTCCTGATCCCACTCCACACAATCCTAGTGTGGCTGAAAGAGCACCGGGTTTGGAATCGGGCATCCAACCTTTTCACTCTGTGTGACTTTACACACATGGTTTAACTTCTCTGGACTTCAGTTCCTTCCTACATAAAGTGGTAATGCCTAACTCGTAGGATTGTGGGCTAGTACTGGGCTAAACTAGTGCTTCCTTCAGTCTGGACTCTCTTTGTGCTGCTGGGGAAACCGAGGCCATTCAAGGGCTCTTAATCTGCTATAAGTCCCAAATGTCCTGCCAGGCAGTTCCAGGATTAATGCCAATCCCTCCTTACTAGGTTTTCTTGATTAAGGGAAATGCCTTCTTTTTGTTTCTGAGGGTGTTTGCACTGTGGGAGGTGGGGAGAGAGAGGGAAACTGAGGTAGTGATTATCCCAAAATGCTTTTAAATATGGATATTTAAGGCAAAATGGTTTGAGAGCCTGTGTCTTGACACCAGACTAACTTACATGGGAACTGAATCCTGTCAGCAACTAGCCATGTGGACACTATTAACTTTCTGAGCCTCAGTCTTCCTCTCCTGTCTGTGGTAATGATAATGTGTGTCATAAGGCTGTGAGGGTTAAAGAAGTTAATATGTGTAAAGTACCTGGCACAGAGTAAGTGCTTAGTATTAGCTGCCACCATCACATCAGCGCCTGAACTAAGACACTGGGTTATGGTGAGGATCAAATTTATAAAGCTCTTGGCATCATTGCCATCATCAGCACCACCACTGTCACCATCATCACCATCATCAGCATCACCATTGTCACCATCATCATCACCGTTGTCACATCATCACCATTGTCACCATCACCATCACCACCATCACCACCATCACCATTGTCACCATCACCATCACCACCATCACCATTGTCACCATCATCAGCAGCATCACCATCATCACCATCATCATCATCGCTTTACATGCCATCATCACCATTGCTATCACTATCATGGGCACCACCACCACCATCATCACCTGACAGGGTCAAGCAGGTTCTAACAATGCACCACCAATACCTCTTCAGCACCTTCCATTTCAGTGTGCAGTGGCCAACTTCTAAGTGCCAGCATCTGTGTCTCTTTACCTGAGGGCTTTCTCTAGCTCCTGGAGCCCAGTACGCCTGTGCCCATGAAGGCTGGCAGTGCCAGAGAACAAACTCCCACCCTCCTCAGGAGGAACCCTAGATCAATGACTCACAGGAATCGATGAATAAATGCCCCAGCTCCCTTGCTTCTTGGGTGGGAATAACTCTGATGAATATCTTCTACATTGTTTCTCAGAGATCTCCAGCAAAATTAAGCTCTGGTTGCCCACAGTGCTAACTTCCCTGATGATGCATGTTTTTCTGGGCCAACCCCCCTTCCCTGTCTCATCCCCCCATTCCCTTGTGTTTCCTGGGAATCACTATTTGCACCTGAATCATTGCCCCAGGGTCTGCTTCTGGCGGAACACTAACAGAGACACTGGATTATTGTGAAAATTAAGCTTGTGAAGTTCTTGGCATATATTAAGGGCTTAATAAATCCACTGCTGAATAACTGAATGAGGCTTCACCTGCCCTCAGGAGACAGACCCCAGGATAGGGGAAAGGAGGAAGGGAGAGACCTGGGACTGCAGGAGATGACAGGAGTGGGGACAGGATCTCAGAGAAACTATCCCTGCAGTGCCCCACCCGTCAACAATTGTCGTCATTACTCCATCCCTCCTCCTGAGTTCTATTCCCAGCCCCTCCCGGTGGCTGCAGGTTCAAGGTGTGGGCAGCCCAGCAGAGCAGCACAGGGAGGTGCTCTCACCCTCAAGCTCCCAAGTTAACTCACTGAAGAACAACGCCCCCTGAGAGCTGGGCTGGGGACAGAAAGCTTGAACAAAGTAAAAGTAACACTTAACTTGTGCCTTTAATGTTCAAACAGAATTTAAATATATTACAGAATGACAGTTGTACAAAGCAACATTGAACACAGGAAGGGAGGATTTTCCTCTTTCCAGTTCTTGGGGGATTGTTAGCGCCCCCCTCCTGTGGCCCCTTCAGCTTTCAAGGGGGCTCAGAGAGGGCAAGGGGCTGGCCCAAGGCCCCCGAGCTCTCCTGGCTGGTCTCCAAAGCTGTCCCACTATTCACTGCAGGGCTACTTGAAATAAAATTTTTCCTGGAAAAAAATAACTGCCTCTGGACAGAGGTGCTGCTTATTTTATTTTCTTCCGGGCTGGAAAGCATGGCCAAAAATTCATCCCCCGAGTGGTGTGGTTATCCATTGGCCAGGAGGGCATGGGGTGAGGGTTCTGCCTCTGCCCGAGGAGCCCGCCCAGCCAGAGTCCTCCCGGGACCTGAGGGGCGATGCCGAGAAGACGCGCTGGAGGAAGAGCTAACCCCCCAGGCAGCCGCGCTCCCGGCTAGTACACCGTGCAGGGGGGAGAGGGGGGAAGGGGGTGGCATCCCCGCTGCCGCCTACAGTCCAGGGCTTAGGCGGGGCTCTGTTTAACGACCCACTCGCCGCAGGGGTTGGCGCGGTACAGATCTAAGAGGTAGGCATCTGGGTCCAGGCGATGCTCACCTGTCGGAAGCCGGGGACAGGGAGGGTGAGGGTGCTGTCTGTGGAAGGTGCTGCTGCCCACCCGAAGCCCCTCGCCGGGCCAGAGCAGCACCCCCTCCCGCTCTGCGAACCTCCGCGCGGCTCACAGCCGCCCCTCGCTCGGGAGAATTGACCCCCGCGAGGTCAGGTCCCCGGAGGGGAGTTACGGCCCCGCCCTCGGGCAGCCACAGCCAATGGCCAACTGAGACAGCGGGAAGACCAGCCTCCCTGCCCCCAGGGAGCCGCGCCGCTGCAGTTGGCCCCCCAGGGCCCCCTTGTGGCCGAGGCTAGACCTCACCGCTTCTCCTTCCCCCTCCCAAGGCTCTTCCTAAAGAGCGCCCCCTCGAGGCATCATTGCTCGGCCAGCGGCTCTCAAAGGGTGGTCCCTGCACCAGCAGCATCAGCAGCTCCCGGCAACTTGTTAGAAATTCGGATTCTCAGGGCCCAGCCTCCTGTGTCTTAACAGCGCTGCAGGTGATCGCTACTCTAGAGAATGCAGCTGAGGACAGCTGCTCATCCTCAGTTCCCACAAAGCCAGGGGCCTCTCAGTGCTGGACATGTTTGCAGAATTCCTTAATGAATCCATGGCCATGGGCCTGGAGCAGGTCCACTTCCGGTAGGGTGGCCCAGAGGCCTCACTTTCACTGGTGGTACTGACAGCACCACACTAAGCAAGAATTCTGCCCTCTCCACACCTGAGGCCACTCCAGGCCATACTCCAAACTCCAAGATGGAATCCTAAGGCATGGCCACAAGCTGACCCTTAACCTCACGGCAGGGTTCCACCTGGTTTCATGGGAGACAGAGGCCAGAGGGGAAGGCTCAACCCGAGGTGGACTCTGCCCCCCTCAGAGGGGCCCAGCAAGCCCTCAAGATCAGAGAGCTCCTGGGACCTGGGCTCAGATCCACTCCCCACAGGGAACTTACTGATGTTCCCTCCAACTTCGTAGAAGACGATGTCGGCTGACTTCCTCAACCTGCTGTGGCAAACAGAGAGGAGAGAATCACCCACCTCTTCTGCTCAAGGCTGCAAGACCAGCAACTGCTTACAGACCCAGGCCTGGAAGGGGCAGTCCTCACTAATTTTTGATCCCAGCTGGGAGATGAGGCATAAGGCCCTCCGGAGAAAGCCGGAGTCAGAAAGGAGCCCGGCGCCCGGAGACATGGAAGAGGCGGAAGGGAAGGCCAGTCATGGGTCCCCCACTAAAGGCCCCCTACCTGCTGGGCATCAGAATGAAAGTTATGAGAGTGGCAGGATGAGGGTGGCATATGGGGACAGGAGCCTGCTGTGAGGGGCAAATTCTAAGTCAAAATGAATTGTGGAGATTGTATGATTATGTATAATTATAGTTATCATAAGTATCACATAATTACCACATGAATTCAATTCCACAATCTGTTCCCAATTTGCCCTGTGGCTCTGGGCAAGCCCCTTCCCCTCTCTGGGCCTTAGTTTTCCCATCTGTACAGGAGGAACTGGACTAGACACTTGCTAATGACTGATAGCCCAAGAGTCTTTCTTGGCAACTTCATCAAGGAAGTGCCTGAGAGCTCAAGCCGTTCCTTGCATCCTGGAATGAGAGTTGCCTATCAGCCCCTCTGATCCTCTTTCAGCTCTTTAGCCATGCTGCCTCGGGACCTTTGCACATACAGTTTTCTGTGCTTGGAAATCTTACCTCATTCCCCAGGCTATACCAGGTGCCTTGTCTTACATTTACATTGTTCCCTGCATTTCTTATAAAACCAAATACAGTTTGTAACTGTATTGACTTTGTGGCTATTTGACACACATCTGTCTCTTTCACAGGGCTGTGAGCTTGTAAGTCCAGCGCCCCTGTCTGTTCTTTTCATTGTGATTCTAGCATTCCACATGGTACCTGGTCTATAGCAGGCATTCATTAAATACCTATTAAATTGAATAAGTGAATGCTATTTTCACTATTATTTGAAGCCAAGGCTCTCTAAGAAGGTTGGAGAACCCAGTTCTGGCCATCCCAGAAATGGAAAGGCCAACAGCCCATACAACTCCCCTTGATGGCCTTTAGTTCTGACGTACTGACCCTTCCTTGGACCTGCTCCCTGCAGGGGAGAGGCTCCTGTCTTGGGGAAGTGCCCCTTACCGTGGGAGGAGGCTGTCCTTGTCCTTATTGCCCTCTTGACTCTGTAAGCCAGGGCTGAGGCACCCTGTGAACTGCCTGAGGACATGAGCCACTTTGGTGCTGGGGGTCAGAGGCACCTCCAGGGTATCTTTGATAGGCCAGGCTGCCTGGATCTTTGCCACTTGGGGAGCCTGCGGAAAGAGAAAGCTCCATATGCATGGGCACATACATGCATCGCTGGAATTCAGATGTGTGCACATAAATATGAGTACACTTGCACTTACACAAATACCCAAGCGAAAAAGAAAAGATTCACACATACACAGGCACACTGGCTGCTTGTGCACAGATCAATGAGGCCCCTCAGTGTGCCACACAAACACAGGCATACAAACAGGGGAGCACACGCATTCATACTGGTACACACAACAGGAGTGTATGAAATGCACCTATAAGCACACGTGCACAGGTTCATGTAAACACCCATCAGCCACGCATGTCATGCACAACGCGACCCTGGGCCACTTCTTCGTTTGGGGCTCTAATAAGGAGCCCTGTTCAGGACTCCCACCAGGGACACTCAGTATTCTTGTAAAGCCCTTCCCTTCCATGCCCCTTCCTGGGCCCAATCACCCCACACCCCACAAGACGACTCCGTTTCCCAACCCTCGGTCAGGCACACCAGGGGCTGCCTGAGGACGGGGCGAGGAAGACAGCTTCTAGAGGGCCCTGCGCCACCCGGTTTCCTCCGCGCAGCCACCTCCCGGGTTTCCGACACCGGCTCCTCCGTCTCCGCGGCGGGGCCGGCGCGCCGCCTGGTGGCTGCAATCGGCAGCGCAGCTCCTGACGGCGGCGAGTCCCTGGAGGACGCGGTGTGGGGCGAGGGGGTGCCCTCTGGCCGCCGCCTTCTCCAGGCGTCTGGGGGTGGGGGTGGCACTCACCGCCTCGGGGCCATCCCCCGCCTCGTCGCTGTCCGTGTGTGTCCTTCGCAACCAGGTTTTGAGGCCCCCGTCGCAGAGCTGGGGGCGCCGGCCGCTGCTGTCGTTCAGTTTTCGCAGCTGGGCGACCAGGAAAGAGGAGACCTGGCCAGAAGGATTCAGGCTCAGCAGGAGCCCGGGGCTGCCGCGGGACGCAGAGCCCCTGGAGCCCCTGCGGCACCCTCCTTGTCCCGCCTCCCCGCGCGGGACTTGCCAATACGTGGTGCTGAGCGCGGGGCTGAGGCGC